TTGATTTTCAGTTTTCTTTAGCTAAACCCAGCTGTAAACTCTCATCTCAAAGAATCATAGTGGTTATAACAGAGTGGTTAGCACAAATTATTCTTGTAGTTATATCAATTAATATGAAATAACACTCAATATCTCAGAAAATAAGAGCCAAAGTCTCTTTTGACTTCTGTGCAAAAGTCATCATTAATTACTAGTCGGTTTCAATCCTAGCCATACTTATTAGGAGGATGACTCTGATGGCGTGGCTGATCTCCTTAATAGTTGGGTTGTTCTTTAATAAATTCACCTAAATTTGGCTCTTTATAAATAGCAAAGAGTTGTTTATAGCGTCTTCCTCTTCGTCATGTGGATAAAGGTTATATGACACAGTACTGTAGTTGTCCTCTGACTTAGAATTCTCAGCATCTGAATCCTTGTCCAGCACATGTATGAGAATTTGTCATTAATACATAGCTTTTGTTTGTCAATGTTCAACACATTTTCATTAGACACATGACCACTGAAGCTCATAGTTTAATGGATTGAGCTATATAAAGATGAAATAAAAACCATTTAGCCCAAACTAAGTTTCTTATGCACTGATGGCATGTACTTAAGCCACGCCAAGTCTCAAACTCTTTCATTTTTTATTTTTCATAGAATCTTTTTCATGTATGGCCAATTTAACCAGCCACTGATGCACAAATTCACATTTATCAATTAATACAGATACTAACAACTTAACATATTTTTGTAACTACTGTAGCACATCTGCACTGGGAGGTGGACCGTACGTCATATCCACACAGAGCAGTACTTCTCATCTAAGCACCAGGGGCTTTGGTCACCAACCAGCTGACTCTTTTTCTGTTGTCCTAAACACAATCATGACATATGATAGATATTCACCTTAGTCACTTTTGTCAGAATTCAGAAACTTTGCAAACAAATGTTTGACTGCTTCCCTGGATATCTTGTACATCCTCACCATGCCTAACACCATAGACAACTCTGCAAACCGCTGACTGCTCAAGATAACTTCTTGATCCTTGTGGATTGTTCCAGGTGTTCCGAATTGTACTACATTATTTTGCTACTTTTTCGATAATTAACTATGCTGAAGTGCCAACTAAATGATGAGATTTTACTCACTTGATGAAGTAATCAATTACGAACGTCACATATCAACTACTACTTTCAGTCCATCAAGCTTCATTCAAGGCTATTCTTTGCGAAGAAATACTTAAAGATGTTTGATAGAATTTATCTTGTCATGGCCATTTGTTTACACTGGGCAGCATATACAGTGCAGTGTTTACCTCACCACTCAGCATCTCAATAGAAATATAGCCTAAAACACCTTGGTATCCTCGAGTCCTCACATCATACAAAATTCCAAAGAATCTCATGCTTTAACGGACCTTGGGGCTGCTAGCTGGATCGAAGATTGTGTAAAATGTCTAAACAGTTCATATCTACGATACATCCTACCATCCTGCACTATTATTTGCTGATATAAGTGTTAAAGCTTCTGTACATTCATGCTGTAACCATCAATCTACGAAGGTTGCATTTCACCTTGCTGCATGGCAAGTCGTGTCAACACTAGATCTGGGTCCTTCAGTTTCTTTTCTTGAAACTATAGATTTGTCATTTAAGGTGCCCTTTTTTGCAGCAGAATCATAAACTCTCGTATGGTTTGTTACTGCAGTGGCTTTAAATGCTGCTCAGAGTTTAGAATTTAGGCATTAAACAAATGGACAAGCTCTCATCATCTAGCAAAATTATCCATCTGCGTTACTATTCCGCTATCCTGGGTTAGGATAAATAATGAAGTTCTACTCTCACAACATTTTAATCCAAAGTGCAATCATATTTTGCAGATTATTTAAGTTCAGCCATTTCACTAATATATAGCCCATTTGATTAGTTTTGTCAAAGAACTTCAGCTCGCATGTTCCACAGATTAAGCTGGTTAGCTTTTTCTGCAACAAATATCACTAAATACCAATGGTTAATCCTTGGTCAGAAACTGTTACCTTCATTCTGTAGATGACTACTCACATCTAGCTTGCAATAATTCAGCACATCAGTGTCCAATCCACTAGTAGCTAGTTTCGTCAAACCCTGGACTTGGCACCACATGGTATGCACCTGCGATGATATGGGGAGGTAAGGTTGGATTTTTAGTTGACATTTGTGCAACCAGCACGTTACTCAATCTCACATCATATCAGACACTCCTAGTAAGCCACCATTTTTCAGTGATGACTGTTAAGTTAACAACCAGCTCCTCTACCACAAGTATTGCAATATGTCATGATGCAGCCACCATTTTTCCCTATGACATAGTTGCACCACAAATCCAGCAGGATAGATCCTAGAGAAGATTAAACCTCTGTTTTGACTGAAGTCTTGCGAATAGCTTGACGCAGGATTCCTGCCAACATCACAGCAGATGCAGGAGAATCAACAGTAAGCTATGGCGGCAGTTGCTTCAGCTAGTTCAAACAAACAGATCTTGAGTTGGGTCTGGCCACCAACTTGTGTAGACATAGCAATTTTCTTGCACTCGGGGACATGGTCCTCTTTGAGTTTGTAAGAACACAATCATCCGCCACAGCAACTTCTGTTGGCTTCTTGTTTAGCTCCAATGTTCACTTAGAACAACAACATAAGACTACGCTGTTATAGAAATATCCCCTGTCAGAGATGAAATGTTCCCGAAACTCGTGGCTCTCTTGTTAGCTTCAAGACAACCTTTCCATGGACCTTAAATGACGTGCCTGGGAATTTTTGTGTGCAAACATAAGGTTATCTGCCTAAGTAGGTAAGTTTTCATGGCACACTCACATTGGTAATTTTAAAATTAACCTAATTTTCCTCACCAACAAATGGGGTGTATGGTTAGAAGACTTATTCTTGGTTATTTCATTATTTCATACCCTGTTGGCCTCGTTTCCATACAAAGCTGGTATTTCTGTGTAGTACAAAGGTTCAGAACATTGGTCTGATGATTTTGCTTAAGGACACCATGTTCATTAGAACATGTGTACCTTCAGCTATTATGATAAATAGGATGATGATGGCATCCTAAGGACACTATCAGTGTCTCAGCTACATGGCTGTTAGCAACAAATACCTGCCTACACAGCAGTTGTATGCTTTATGTCTTCATATGGAATAACATTAATACCCGTTTCATTCTAGTAACTTGAGCTACGAGGACAACTTTAATGTTATGTCTTCATATGGAATAACATTAATACCCGTTTCATTCTAGTAACTTGAGCTACGAGGACAACTTTAATGTTATGTCTTCATACAGAATAACATGAATACTCATTGTCTTCTCCATCTGCTTGAGGTATGTAACAGTGGAATACCCGTTTCATTCTAGTAACTTGAGCTACGAGGACAACTTTAATGTTATGTCTTCATACAGAATAACATCGGGTCAAGTTGTTCTCATATACCATATGAGTTACGAAAAGTACGCAGGGACGAGTGTTATATATATTGGACATGATAGCCTTACGACGGAGTCTCTTACTACAGAAACTAGGCTGCAGGGCTATTGTCAAGTTGTACGGTCATCAGCCACAGCATGACCAAACATGGCATTGCGGACTGTAACAACGTGGTGAGGCTCCAAAACCGTTTTGATGTAATGTCCTCAACGTCTGTACACACACACACCAACAATAAGGAAAGGACGTTCTGGATGAAAACACTCATACAAAGCCTGTAGGTGTTGAAGATGTTGTATACATGCATTACGATACTGATGAGAAGTTTCCAGGTGTATATATATATATATATATCAAGTATAGCTGAAACTTTAACAGCTACTGATACACACTACCTGAAATTACTAAATAATCCAGGGTGTTCATTACATATATTATAACACAAACAATTGGAAATTATTAGGATTATGTATAATTATCCAACTAACAGGAAATTCTTACTATTATGTACATTAATGCAAATAACTGAAAATTCTTAATATTATGTAAAATAATGCAATTAACTAGAAATTCTGAATATTATGTACTTTATTACAAACAACTGGAAATTCTTATGATTATAAACACTAATGCAAATAACTGGAAACTCTTAGGATTATGAATACTAACACAAATAACCGGATGTTAAGAAGTGTTCAATCCAAAGATCAACACTGGATACACTAATGCTATACTATACTATAGTTTCTAGTTTATTGATTATGCACGTTAACACGTATAACTGAAGAGGCTGGAGATACTGCCCACAAATAATGGAGGTTCTGAAACTATTACATAGATACGATCACATATAGAGTGAAGTTTGTTAGATGATAGATATATACATTAACACCATAAACTGAAGATTCTCTGAGGTATGGATTATTTACGAAATAAAACTCAAATGTAATATTGTTTTATTTCACAGCTTCACGTGAGAAGAGTTTCATAACTTATTAGTTAACATTAAGTTTTAGTTGTTGTTTCATAGCTTCATGGGAGAATAGTTTAATAGATTATCGGTTAAAATTAAGTTTTAGTTGTTGTTTCATAGCTTCATGGGAGAATAGTTTAATAGATTATCGGTTAAAATTAAGTTTTAGTTGTTGTTTCATAGCTTCATGGGAGAATAGTTTCATAAATTATTGGTTGATTAACATTAATTTTAGTTTTAATTGATAGATCAATCAAAGCTTCTTTTGTGAAGCGTAAAGTTTTATCAAAGATACTCTAATTAACGTTCAATATGAAGAAAAAACATGATTTTATTATTCAGTTTACAATCCCTACGAAATGATTATTATAGTATTCAACTGAAAGCAAATAAATCAGACTTTAAAACAAGAATTTCCGTTAATGTCTTTTCGTAATCTATACTGACAAGGTTAAAAACAGTTGTTTTTGTTTCACACTTTAGCCTATTTTTTATCTATTATTAACTTTTTGGAATAAAGCTAATTGAGATTAACACTTTTGCTTTTACAAACTAATAAACATTATAATAATACTTACGTTTCTCCTCTACAAATGTCATATGATTAATGCCCTCTAACACAGACTGATAATCCAGGGCATAGTTAAAGTTAGAAGTTACCCAAGGTCTTAAAGCCATTTCTTGATTCCATCTGTTGTCCACATCGGTCACTCTACTGATCAAAGCCGCCCCAACCTAGAGCCCATAAAGTAAATCACTTTCATCTGTAGAAACATGTGAGGTTTGGAAACAGTTTAATGTATATATCGATATATATATATATATAGGTTTTCGGATCAAAAGAAGTTCCACTTCTAGAACAGCCGATGATCAAAAACACATTTTACAACAGTAGAAAAAGAGTGAGAAACAAGCATTATCCGTAGAAGTGTGGAATCTGAAACAATCTTTATCTGTAAAACTGTAGAGTGAGAAACAAGCATTATCCGTAGAAGTGTGGAATCTGAAACAATCTTTATCTGTAAAATTGTAGAGTGAGAAACAAGCATTATCCGTAGAAGTGTGGAGTCAGAAACAAACTTTATCCGTAGAAGTGTGGAGTCAGAAACAAACTTTATCCGTAGAAGTGTGGAGTCAGAAACAATCTTTATCTGTAAAACTGTAGAGTCAGAAACAAGCTTTATCTGTAGAAGTGTGGAGTCAGAAACAAGCTTTATCTGTAGAAGTGTGGAGTCAGAAACAAGCTTTATCCGTAAAACTTTACAGTCAAAAAGAAACTTTATCTGTAGAAGTGTGGAGTCAGAAACAAGCGTTATCCGTAGAAGTGTGGAGTCAGAAACAAGCTTTATCCGTAAAACTTTACAGTCAAAAAGAAACTTTATCTGTATAACAGTGGAGTCAGAAACAAGATTTATCTGTAAAATTAAATTGTGGAGTCAGAAACAGGCCTTATCTCTATAACGATGGAGTCATAAACAATTATTAAAGCAATAGCATCAAACAAATCTTAATTCTAGAAAGCGTGTGGATCAAAACTTATTTTACTTGTAGAACAAAGGTTCTCGAAGAGTTAGGCTCGCCACCCGGTTGAGGAATGAAGAGCTTCTAAAGCCAAGGTCAATATTTTTCTACTAACCAATTTGTAGCCCCCAGTGGCACAGCGGCATGTCTGCGGACTTACAACGCTAGAATTCGGGTTTCGATACCCGTGGTGGGCAGATCACAGATATCCCATTGTGTAGCTTTGTGCTTAATTACAAACAAGCAAACAAATTTGTATTAATCGTCAAAAGTGTAATTTTGATGGGGAGGACCCATTGTATTGGAGAAAAAATGGGAGAGAAAGATCTATGTAAAACGTTTAAAAACAACTACTGTAAAAGACTCCTGAGGTTACAAAAACAAGCTTTACTTGGCCTGTAGAAGGATCATGAAATCTGAAACACATTTTAGTAGTAAGAAGAATGTGGGGTCAAAAATACGTTTTACCTGAATGAAAGACGTTGGGTCGGTCTCTTTTAAAGCTTCTATGCAGAACTGGAGAAGTCCTGTTGTCTGCTGAAGTTTGGTAGTACAAGAAGTTATCTGGTCGCGGAGTGTCTTGATCTTGTGGTCTTGTTCCTGTCTGGCGAACTCTAGTAGCTGTTGTTTCCTGGCGTGAACGGCCTTAATCAACAGATCGCATTGGGAGCTTATTGTGGCTTCAAACTCAATACAGTTGTTCTGGAAATATAAAAATGAATTAAAAGTACCAATTCGCATGTCTTGGATGTAGTAAATTAAAACATATGAGTATTGATAATAAAGTAGAGGAGATACGTGTAATTGTTTGCTTACGATTTAAAATGTAAAATAGTTATTTACAGTAACGTTAATTCTACGAAACTTCAACGTTTCGTTTTACACTGGATCATGGGTAGGAATCAGAGGATTGACGTTGTCCAACTTGTATTTTCTTAAATATTTTATCTTTCTTCTGTTCTTCTTATAGTTCAACACTGCTAACAGTGCTAACACTGCTATAAACATTATAAACGCTTCCGACTCGTTGAATCTTTTAACTTAAGCTTATCTGCAAATATGTTAAAAAATAAAGTGTATCACGTGCTTCTAGGTGATTGTATCGGGCGTAGTTTAATGCTCAATGTACCGGGCTGTAGACCAAGATTTCCATTGTTCGTGTCCGGTTGTTACGCACTTTGGGATCGTAGGTACGTACGTTATAAGAAACGGTTAAATCCCTTTATTCTCGCAGTGGGTGCTGTTGACTAGTTGTCTTCCTTCTAGTCTATCAGTTCAAAATTAGGGACATTTAGCGCAGACAGCTTCCGTATTGCCTCGCGCGAATATTTGGAACAAACAAGCAAACAATCTAGCTGGCTGCACCTGCATTACTCGTTAAACAACATTTGATATATTTCTTTACAGAATATTTTTCTTTGTTGATTTCTGTTCGATTGAAACTAGATTAGTGCTAAAATATGCAGTACTAAGATATATGATTAAGTTTCTTGTATGGTTAAAACTACAATCAGTTCAAGAGGGTTGTGGTTTGTAAGTTTTTCAGGTATTTGTGGAAACTGTAAAATAAGTACGTTTGATTTCCAATGTTTCACATGGTTATAAGCTAAATATAGAGGTCTCACACAGTCTTGTCTCATTTGGCATATGACGTAAACCACAGTTTTTTAAAATACTCTAAATTAACCACAAACCATACTAGCCTCCAATGATGACATTTAGTTGTTTAACTCACGTGGAGAGCCAGCCAATTACAACAGGCTATTGTGATTTGACTACAAACGTCTCAAAATGTCGGAACCGTTTTCAAGCTAATGCATTTACAGTTGCTCTTACACCTCGACAAAACAGACGATTACTACAAACGCAGGTGTATGCAGTATCAGTATAAAGGCAGAAACATAAATCATATGGAGGTCTGAATTACAGACGTCCAATGAGATGCATTCTGGTTGTAGCAAGATACAAAACATTATACGTATCTGTTTTCAGTTGTCTTTTGATCACCACATGCACTAAACCTCTGCTTGCATTTGAAGAAAATGTAACATTTCGGCTATTCGTTTATTCTACTGAATCATTCAGCAGACAAGGTGTTTAAGATACTAAATATGAATCCATCAGTTAATTCATCTTTGTACAGGGTTACTAATGAGGGGTGGTATTCCCCGAAGCCGATATAATCCAGTGACAAGTGATGAATCGAATGATAGATTGGGCTTCGTATTCATATTTGATATCACGGCACAAAACAGCTTGTTTTCTACTGTGCCGAAAACACGCCCAGTGAACCAACGGCACGTGAAGCAATAATAATTTTTACAGGCGAGTCAAGCTTCACCCTACTGTCAGATAATAAGCGTATATTCATTGGAGAGAATCTACACTCAGATACAACCCCATTTTCATACAGAAAGGTGTGGGCAAAAATAAGCATTGGTTGATGCTACAAGCTCTACATCCTACAGACATAAGATGTTACAACTCTTTGTACTAGAATTTACTGGTTGAATTGTCTTCTGACTTCAACGTGGTGGATAATAATGTCTGTCCCATCGTGCTAACTGATTGAAACATTTCTTGAAGAAGAAGGAATTAGCCGAATGAAGTGACCTTCACACTTACCGGACTTCAACCCCATCGAAGGTGAATAGAATAATCTTGGGAGACGAGTCACTTTCCTTCAAGTGGTTCCAGAAAATTGGACAAGATTACCCCATCAATACCCTCATTTGAAACAATCAACATCACTGATCAAACTATATATATTAAAGAGAATGTAAAAATGTAAAGCCACTTCTACAACATGTTCGTTGAGTAGCGTAGGATGAATAATTAATTATTTGCATTTCCGGTCACATGACGAATCACCAGATGCCTGATTTACATAAAAATGAGATGACGAATGAGTTATGGGATTTTATAACAGTGATTTTGCCTTGTTATAAATTTCAATTATCTTTCAATTGTTTGTTTATTTGAAGTTAAGCACAAAGCTACACAATGGGCTATCTGTGCTCTGCCAACCACGGGTATCAAAACCCGGTTTCTAGCCTTGTAAGTCCGCAGACATGCCGCTGTGCCACTGAAGGGCTTTCAATTGTTTAGTGAAAATAATCTTAAACTGCTTAGAACTATTAGTTACTGATTTTCGCTCAGATTGTCACACATGATAAAAATAAAAAACTCAACGAACAGGCGTGAGAGAAACATTTAGACTATTTTACTAACAGACAAAGGTTTGTATAGAATATTTTAAATAAAATTGATAAAACGAGACATCAACGTTTTTTACTTGCACAATAATTTATTTGTAATATTCAAAAAATATAAGTTAAAAGAAACTTTAAAAACTCTACATGTTTCGGTGGAAATAATTCCACCATCTTCAGGAGAATAAACCACGAAATACATAGGAAGTTCCTTATAAACCTAATGTACGTGTATAATTAGCATGTTTATACAGTGGCGCCATTTACAACAATGATTTCCAAAAGTTTACTTCCGTGGCTCCAGGGACTAAATCTCAGTTTTTATTCATTTTGTTTTTAACAATTTCTAAGGATTCTCTTATATTTAGTTCATCTTTTCCGTTACCTGTTTAAGTATTTTTATACGATCCCAATCAATAATATGTTTAAAATTCGCCACATGTTTTGCCAAAGCCGATTCACCGGTTTTTAATTTATCCACCGCATTTTGACGTTCTTTTACTATAAATTTTAATTTCCTACTTGTCTGTTCAATATAACTTAGACCACAAGTACATGAAATTTTATATATACAACATTAATCGCGAATTTTTTTGCGCGAAATTCAAAACAAACAAACAATTTACTTAACGGTTGAGGGCAATAAGAATAACGAAAACGATTAAAATAATTTTAGTAATTATAAAAATACTTGCATAT